TAAACAATCTTTTCCTCACATGCACATCCCTCCCTCTGTTTCCTCCCTAACATGCTCCATCTCCTCCTCCCTCCCTCCTCTGCTACCAGCATGCGCTCAACCTCCTCAAAACCCACCTCAAAATCCTCACCAAACTCTAATAATCCCTCCCATGGAAATCCTCATTCCCTCCTTCTCTGCAAGCACTCTCCTTCAGCCACTCTCGACCTGCTAATTCTCATCCTCGTCCTCTTCTCCGGTACTTTTCTCCTCTGCTCCTACTTATCCTACCTCTTCAACTCTCTCTCTCTTCTCCTCTCCCAATTCCCTTCTCTTTCCCTCTCTCTCCCCACTTTCTTTCCTCTCCTTTCATCGTTTAACCCGCAGAATGGAGATGACACCAATGGCTATGACACCAGTCTTCCTCCGGCCTCTTATTTCTTCGCTTTCACCCTCTTCTTTGCCGCTTTCATTGCGTTTCTGGACTCCTGCTGTGGTACCAGATCAAGGAAGTGCCGGAATCCTGGCTGCAAGGGCTTGAAGAAAGCGATGGAGTTCGATTTGCAGCTGCAGACCGAGGATTGTGTCAAATCCGGGTTGTCGAAGGAGATCGATGGGCTACCTTGGAAGGGAGGCAGCGAGTCCAACCCAGATTATGAATGCTTGAGGGCTGAGCTGAGGAAGATGGCACCACCTAATGGCCGTGCCGTCCTGCTGTTCCGATCGAGGTGCGGGTGTCCTGTGGCTAAACTCGAAGGCTGGGGTCCTAAGCGCGGCAGGCGGCATAAAAAGTGAGTCGGTTTCATGTTTTTTTTTTTTAAAGAGTTTTATTTTCATGATGGGTTTGGTCGAATGAAATGTGAGGTTTGGTGACTGTGGGATTCCAATCGAGTACGATTTGTTTGGTTGCAATGTGGATTTGGTTTGATTTTGGTTTCTGTATATTGAGGTGTTTTGACCTAGGCAGTTGATTGGTCCCATGGATTGGCCGGAGTAGTTCCATTTCATTGTTTCCCTGTAGTTTTATGAGATATCTCTCCTTAATTTTTAATTAGATTGATCAGGCAATTTGAGTTTGCAGCCTGTTCGGTCAAACTTTAGGCAAGTGAAATCAAGTTAATTGAAATTTCCCTGCCCTTATCGCTTCGTTTCTTTCAAATTTACTGTCTTTTTAATTTATATCGCTTCATATCACTCTGGAATTTTGGCTACTCTAGGGGTGTTTGTTTTGTATTGGAATGATTTTTAAACATTTAATTTGGTGAACTACTATGTCTATGCATCCTTTTCTATTGATAACATAATTTCTTTTTCTTTTTGGCCTTATCTACTCAAATGGCTCCGTACTCTACTTCTTTGTTGGCAATCACAGAGGAATTGGTATCTTTCAATTATTTATTTTAATTTGCTTGCTTGGAAACTTGTGAATGTTTTATTGCATAGGTATTTTTTTCATGGTTGTCCAGCCTAGAGTCTATTGAACTTTGTTGTTCGACTTAGAATTTACCTTTTAGGTGTTTGATATGGCTGGGGGATTTTTCTCTGATGAATTGAATTTTGTCTCAATCTTCTCTAGGGACAAAATAGATGTAATAACTAGCTCAGTGTTGATTATATGTCTGGCAGTTTGCTTTCCATGGGGTCTGTCACAACCTCTTTACATTTTTTTTTCTCATTGTTCACTTATTTATACACGTTAA